CACATTTTTATTAAACTTATTACACATATCTTAATTATATTTTAGTTTATTAATTGCACATTCCTACTTTCTTCTTTTGCTTATTTAAAGTTTATTTTATGTTTTTTATTCCAAATCTGATCCAAATCACATTTTATATTTTTGTATTTAAAAAAAATGTATTTTATATTATTTTTGCACATTTTTACTTTTTATATATATTCTTAATTTAATATTATTACTTAAATAATAATTTATTATTTTAAAAATATTACTTATTTTATCTTTATCCATTGCACATTTTATTTACCTTCTTATGCTTATATAAATATGTTATTATATGTTTTTTATTCCACATTTCTACTTATATTTTAATGTTTTTATATTTAAAAAAATATATAATACGTTTTCTTTTTCACGTTTTTTTTTTTTTCTTGTTTGAAAAAATACGAGTAATATTCTTATTTTCATATTATTACTTATTTTATGATTTATGAATTAAAACATATTTAAAATGTTGTATTCTATTTTATTTGACATTTTTATTGACCTTCTTACGTCTGTTTACATTTTTTTTTATCATTATTTATTTCACATTTTCACTTGAATTTCCTGTGTTTAGAAACAATTAATTTTTGCTATTAATTGTGTATTTTTTATTGGAAATGTTAAACATTTATTCAGTTTTATTTTATATATTTATTCCACATTTTCACTTAAATGTTTAGGTTTTTACATTTTTACATAATGACCTTTTACCTGTGAGCTGTAGTCACCTCCTGCGGACACTAGAGGGCGGCAGAGCGTCATGAAGACTCCACTGCAACACACGAGACTTTCCCCTCTCCTCTCCTCTCCTCTCCTCTCCTCTCCTCTCCTCTCCTCTCCTCTCCTCTCCTCTCCTCTCCTCTCCTAAAAAAAACCCATCCCATATTATTCTTATTTTATGATTTATTAATGAAAGGTCACCCTATTATGCTAAATCCTCTTCTTCCTGTCTTTTCTACATAAACATGTGTCCCCTCTGTGTAAAGTGTTGGAGTCTGGAGGCCTGTTCATTTATTCCGGCAAATCACTCAGACCTCCTAATTGACCTAACAGAAGTTATTGAGTCTATGTAAGTTTACTGCTTGGCTCAGATCCACCAACGTCAGCAAGATCTCACCTCTATTAACTCCTGAAGAACCAGGTTAAATGAACTGCTGTTTCAATTCAGACGACCCGCTAAATCTGTTCAAGCGATCCCAAAGGATTCTGGGTGTGGCCCTACCTAAGTGTGAGTGTGGCAGTGTGCAATCTTACCTTTGAAGCAGAAGAGGAGAGCGCAGATGTATTTTAAGTTGTCCCAATCCAAAAGGTGGGATCAGTTTATTTGAAGAAAAATTGGTCCACACTTATACAGGGTTTTTACCTTCTCTCGTTACAACATGACAATCCTACAAAACATATCATGCTGTGATCATGTTCTAATGTGAAACCTCAATTCACAGTTTTACATTTATTACACTAAATTGTAACTTCAACTGCCCAATTCAGTTGTGACATTTAAAATCTCCCGACAGAATTTAGAGGCATATCCTCATAAATGGCCGGTGATAATAAAAAGCACATTCAAACTTTCATTCAACAAACCAATTCTCATACACATCTATGTCCAGCATGAATTCAGAGGACCATCCTCACAGGTGGCCGGGTTATAAACATTCAACAAATCAATTCACTCAGCATTCAACAAAGAAATTCGAGAGATATTACCAAGTTTGAGAGAACCTTACAGAAGAAAAACCCAGCTCTCCAGGGAGAGAGTATACCAGGGGAACACCCCCCCCCCCCATTTGCTCCCTCTCAGCCAGTGTTTTTATGCTCAAAGCAGGACAGAAAAACCCAAAGACACCTCCTCCATACCCGTATTTGGGGAAACTGGGCATGGCCTCTGATGTGCAGGACTGAAAAATATTATTCTCGGCTATGGCATAAACACCTTTTTGGGACCTCAGTATTTCTCCAACAAGTCAGGAGCCCCCCCCCCCCCCCTTGTGCACTGCTGTGAGGGAAGAAACTGTCTCCCCTCTCTTATCAGTGACACCCATAAACCATGATAGGCCTTACACACTCAACTTAACAAACCACTTGTGTTTTGTTTATACTGTAAATATAGAAAATCATAAAATATAATGCATTTTCATTGAGGGTTATACAAGAATATAATTGATTATATTTGATTATAAGTAACTTTCGTTTTAAGTATTCAACCTAATATGGAGACCTCAACAAAAGAGACTCTGAAAGTTTCAGGAACAAAGATTCTCTCTCTTTTTCTCCTGATCCATTTTTATAAAAACCTGTCTGAAAATGAGCTGATCAGATTTTGGCCACTTGATGTCATAACGATGTTTTGTCTTGTGTAACCATTGAGTTCTTTTTAACCAAATCTCTCAAGAGGCACACGTTAGTGTTAACTGTAATATAAACATGTGCTTTGGGTCTCAATTTGTTTATATACTGTATTATAACTTTGCTAACTATTTGAAGTTCTCTTGTTTAATGGTATTCTAAAGTAATGCTGATATGGATGTAGCTTAAATGTATTTGTTGTGTTGTGTCTTTGTGTAGCTCTCACATTGGTTTTTGGAGTTTTCAATAAAATAGAAATCATCAGTCAAGTGTACGACCATCTTTCGGAGGGATATGCTCCAGTTTATATAATAAAATATTGATAATTGCCGTCCGTGTATCGATACAATATCACCACGCAAAGTATCGCGATACTATGCTGTATCAACTACTAGTGAGACCTCTATGTGTGGGCCTGGGACCGGCCACAATGAGTCTTTCCTCTAAGCACCTTGACCTTGAGGGGACTAAACTATCCCATAAGAGGCCTGGGACCAGCCTAAACACTTTGTTAAAAACACAGTTTAACAAAGTTAAAGGAAGAAATTATAAATAATACGTAATAAAATGAAAGAAAACTAACTGTAAGTACTTAAAAGAATCCCCTTGAAATACCTTCAAAACCAGAAATGGGTCTATTGCTCCCTCTTGAAAATGAGCATGGTGGGAAGAGTGAGAACAGATAAGAAAGTTCCACATGTTCAAGCTTGAGTTCCTGTTTCTTGATAAGCAATGAGTCGTGATCTGTGTTAGCAATAACACAATGAAGCTTCTTGTAGATTCTCAGCAAGCTCACAGAATTATTAACCAAGTTGTTGTCACCTTTATTCTTTTAGTGATTACTGATTGTCTTATTTTAGATCTGGAAAGCACTTTGTTCAACTGAGGTTGTTTAAAATGTGCTATATAAATAAACTTGACTTTAATCGGATTTCAGACTTTCATATAACAGTTCTGACATATTTCTACATTTCTTCATACCAGAATGAATGTTCCTTACATTTGACTGAATGTCTAGTGATCTACTCATATTTATAGACATAACAATATAGGATGAGTCTGTAAATAAAATGACAAAAAGTTAAAACCGCCAATCATTTCACGAAATTTCAGAGGTGATCATTTTCAATTAGCCAGCAGTCCAGTAACTACGTTCAAAACAATGAAAACCAACCAACTTTGACATTAGAGAAAAGAGAACCACTGAGTTCATATGTTTGCTTATTTACTCGTGGTTCTTAGTCCGGGCAGAAAAGCAGCACCGGCGAGGCAGAGGGAGAAATGGCACCTTTGGGAGATTGTGTTGGGTTGGTGGTATGAGGGGTTAAGGCATGAGTCGTGTAAATGAATAATTTCAGCTCAACTTGACTGAACTCCATTTCAGTCAGACAAATCACGTTTGAAATGTTCATTAACAGCAGCTTATAGTTTCAGTTTGGACCCAGCCTCACATCGAGCCATTCCCCTTGAGCTCCAAGGCTTTCCCGTGAATATATTATCTAGTGAGACTGCTATGTGTCGACCTGGGACCGGCCACAACGAGCCAACTACCCCCTAAGCACCTTGACCTTGAGGGGAAGAAACTATCCCATAAGACCTCTATGTGTGGGCCTGGGTCCAGCCACAACGAGCCCACGTTCAAGCAAAGATGAGTTGATAATCCAGCAGAGGAAAAAAAAATACCACCCGCGAATCATTCTTTTTGCGGGTCACCCGTCCCGATGCAGGACTCTGAATCCAGCCCAGTAACCACCTGATAATCCATAATAGTACAGCTTTAGTTTAAATATTTATTCACACATGAAGGAGTGCAAGGGGAATAGTGGTGGGGGGGTATGAGTCTCCTTTTTTAAGATGGAGGGTGTGAATACAGAGAGAAGGTTCAGGAGCAACTCTGCTGCTTAGTCTCCGCAACAGTTCCTATAAATACGCAAAAATGTACTTTCAAATGTATAATTTTCTACACACACTGAATTCTTCCGTTGATAAGGGGCGTTCTCTCTTTGGACATCTGGATTGTCTGTGGTATAGGTTTTAATGTTGGGCTGTATAAATCAAATGAAATAGATTGACTAGATGTGCATCCTGTATTCAGAATCAGGCTGACTGCCAGGGAGGTTCACATATGCAAGAAATGAGCTTTGCTGGATAAAGGTGGAAAGAGAAACACAGTGAGAGGAATGAAGTTGTAGAATCAGAGACAATTTAGAACTATTATAAAACCTCTTTAAATAATGGATAAAAACTGACTGCACTGATTTAGCGTAAATGCAATAACCTCCACTCTCCAGGAGTTACCGACTTTATAAGAACATCCCATTATTTAGTTCTCTTTTACACGAATGGATGATTGCTATTCACATGAATGCTAACCCTTCTGACGTTTGACCTTATGTGAGAATGCTGCTCATTGACTCAAGTAAACCACTAAATATTAAACTAAACTTGAGAGTCGTTGTCCGAGTTACTCTGGATACACATTGTCTTTCTCTTCAGTAGAAACTGATATCCATTTCCTATAAAAGATCTCTTGGTTAATGCTCTCAATCATCATTCATTTACCTCACCTTTTATAAACACTGCAATGAGACACTTCACTCTCCTGTTTCAAAAACACAAGTTTGCAATGAAATCATTTGGCTTTTTAAATGTTTTTTTATTCTTTTTCAATGCTGCATGGGTTCCAGAAATACTCCAACTGAATAACCCTAATTCGGATTCAGACTCAAGGTCTGATTCTTTTGGTGTCTTTTGACGGACCATCTGAATGTGGGCGTTTTATTGCTTTTCCTGGCGGGTCCACCTTCAGCTCCACCTCCGGCTCCAGCCTCACCTCCACAGGGAAATGGTCACTGACGTCCTCCGCCTGAAAGAAACAGAGAAAACATTTTAGAAACTCAATTTCAATGTGTTGTTCTTCCAACTTGGCATACAGAACATAGTCTCAGTTAAACTTCTAACAGGTGGTTTCTTTGCACAAGATGTTTTTTTAGACCGTCAACTCAATAGTTCAAAAAAAAAAAAATAAAAGTATCAAGCATGACTTAATCTAGTAATCAAGTAATCTAGTTCCTGACTGTAGTGACTACTCCTGTCAACTCGTGATACGCCTGTAACTTTATCTGTTGTACCTCAAGTTTACAGCACTGTCTTTTCCAACAGTTGTTGTTGTTGTTATCAGCTCAATAAAACGACTCGCTCATCCACAGTGACATTAGATGTCAGAGCAAAGGAAACGTCTTGAAATGGCTGTTTTGTGTTAGTTAGATTATCTATGGCTCACATGGAATGATCATTAAGGTCTGATGCTATTTCAAAATGTCAAATATTTCATTTGATAAAATGCTGATCTTCACTGAAATAATATGCAGTCATGCTTTATTTTAGTTACGTACACTTAGGCTGAATTACTTTAGTTAAATGATTGAGATTCTAAATATGGCTCACATGGAGTGATTTGAGGTGTCTGATGCACTTTATAATTTGAATGTATACAATACAAATGTGTTTATTGATTGATGGTTAAATGAGTAAATGCTTCACATGTACTGACTTCTGAACATGCCATTTACATGTGTGTTGTTTCAATAAAATGTGTCACTCAAACAAGATGCGCTGGCGAGGAGGATGTCGTGAGACAGCGTCACGCAAATTTGAAGATCGAGATGAAAAAACCTTCGCCACCATTTTTATTCCGTGTCTTTGAATTGACTTTACATGTAATCGTGACGCGGTCCAGTGTGAACGTACCTGAGCCTGGGTAAGACCATAATTAATCTTGAAGTTAAAGACCTTAGCGCTGCCTTTCACCACTCCATTGTTCATTTCAGTGGTGACGACAATCCTGCAGAAACAGGAAGAGAGGTGTGATTAAGAGTGTGTGTGTGCATGCAAGTGTCTTTATGATTATCTGTGTGTGTTCACCTGTCGTAAGTGTTGGAAGACAATGCTGCCACTGTAGTGTCAACACCGTTGGCGATCAGCCAGTGGAAGTTCTTGTTGGTGAAGAGGCGGATATTCTTCCAGTCTTTTGCTGTGACATACGTGCCGTCTGCGTTGAAGTCTCCGAGCACCATGATGTTCTGCAGGCAGAGGGAAACGGCTCAAACTAATTATTTGCAAACTAGATCAGAATAATGTCATGGTAATGGGCAATCTGAAAAACACAAATGTAAATGCCCCCTATCTAAATGTTGCTCTCTGACGTCCATTCATTTTACACCAGAAAGAACTGCTCTATGTGAGTCATGATGGAGACTTAAGTTAATATTTTGAGATATTACGTTTTATTTGACAATTCTTTGTGAAAGATCTCTTCTTTTGTTTTTTAAAGAATGAAGTGTGTGTGTGTGTGTGTGTGTGTGTGTATTGTATGTCTTGTTTGGGGTATTACATTGTTCGTCCATTTGAGTTTGGCAGCAGCAACCACATCAACAAGGGCATTCAGTTCTTCTACAGCGTTGCCCGGTTGGGTGTGAATGGGGATCAGAACAAATTCCTTCACAGCTGGAGACCAGGAGAGAGAGAGGAGTGAATGAAGAGAGACAATGACAACAGAAGAAATACCGCTAAAGTAAGTAAATGTACTTCATCACATTCAACCACTAATATAAATGCAGGTATTTTTAGTGTGGCACTGACTGAGGTAAATGTGTAAGAAAATATTAGACCAAAGCAAATGATAGAGTTTTTTAAAGTGGTGTTGGTGACGGACAGACCTCAGGATCTCCTCTCACACAAGTCTGGTGCTTAGTTCTCTATAATAGATAATCTACATTTCCAGTGAAAGAACAGAGTCTCTCCTCTAATACCGGTCTGTGTGGAGGAAAACTTGACGACGAAGGGCGGTCTCATGAAGCCTTTGCCATCGTATTGGAAGCTGTCTGTCACGGTCACCGTCTGATCCCTGCAGAGGAAAGATGGAATTCTTAATTTAGAAGACGTCTCCAAACAGTGGATCGAGTTCATCGACTCGTTCTCATGGTCACATATTCACACAACTCCTGGATCATTTTCTATGCTGTTTACACTCTTTATCAAACACATGTTTTCTCTTTCTGCTCACTGATCTGGGGAATTAACAAAGCAATACATCCAGAAAATCATTTAGCTGTTGGTGTTTTGATTTTGGCAGTTTGTGTTTTACCTGTAGAGGAAGAGGTATCTCTCCCTATAGCTGCCGGAACCCAGAGGCAGGGGCTCACTGGAGTTGTAGCTGAACTCAGTAGTACCTCTGGGGAAACACACACACACACACACACACACACACACACACACACACACACACACACACACACACACACACACACACACACACACACACACACACACACACACACACACACACGCGCACACACACACACACACACACACACACACACATAGAGATACCTTTTGTTTATCTTGAATCATAATGTGAGTTCATGATCTGTTGAACTTTTTACAAACTTCTTCAAAAGGTCACCATTAGTGCTGCTGCATTTGTAAAACATAACTTTTATATTGATTGATATTGCAATTCCAATATGAAAGGAAATATATGAATTGATTATAGTATGAAGTGTATCTGTATTAGGTCTATAGAATACTGTTTGTAGGCCAGGACTTCTCCACAATACTTCATTCAGATATTTTCACTCGTTTTGCCAAATACTGCGATTACTGAGATTTGCATATTGCAGTAGTCAAGATAACATTTAGATGAATGAAGCAGCCCTCACAGTCTGCGTGTGTGTGTGTTAGAATACTGTGTTTGCTCTTCATAAGTCTTACTTGTTAACAAGAGCCAGGAGTTTGTCGGGTACGCTCAGATCGTGGTTGCAGCGGACCTCCTGGATCAGAATGATGTCATAGCGCTGGACAATCTGAAAAAAAATGTATTCTGATTGGTCAATTCTGACGGAAGTACTAAAGGGAACAGCAGAAGAAGACAGACAGGAAGTAAACACTAAAGGGAACAGCAGAAGAAGACAGACAGGAAGTGAACACTAAAGGGAACAGCAGAAGAAGACAGACAGGAAGTGAACACTAAAGGGAACAGCAGAAGAAGACAGACAGGAAGTAAACACTAAAGGGAACAGCAGAAGAAGACAGACAGGAAGTGAACACTAAAGGGAACAGCAGAAGAAGACAGACAGGAAGTGAACACTAAAGGGAACAGCAGAAGAAGACAGACAGGAAGTAAACACCAAAGGGAACAGCAGAAGAAGACAGACAGAAGTAAACACTGAAGGAAACAGCAGAAGAAGACAGACAGAAGTCTAGTAAACTCTGTACATGTTTCCTCAAGGTGCTGAATGTTCTCTAAATGCTGCATGTGTTGTCAAGTTGCTGGAGATGTTTCTTCATGTGTTTTTATATCTGCATCCTTTCTGAAGCTGCAGCGTGTTTCTCCTGATGGAAGAGTTTGGGCCGTAGCAGCACGTTTACACCTGCTGGCCACCGTAGCTGTTTAGTGCTGCACTTCAGCATTATGTTTAAAATTACCATTACCTCACAAAACAATCATTGATTTCCAAGAAAAGGAAACTCAAACAGGAAGTGGGTTACTATGTTTCACTTGCCAAGATACAGTCAAAACAACGAAGAACAAATAAATATTGGATACCAAATTGAGTTTCAGACCTCTGTGATGATCTTTATCGCTTCCGGTTTATCGAATTTCCCGGTTCCAAAACATCGGATGTTGAAGGCTCCAATCAGCAGACAGGAGGTCACATGCAGCAGGGCCAAGAAGAGACCCAGAGCACAGAGCAGACGCATCCTGGGACTAACAGAGACATAATTAAAATACTTGGTGATCAAATCAAACTTTATTTATATTGCATTTTCAAACACAAAGGTAACTCAAAGTGATTTTTTGGTTTTCCCACAATGTCTTCTTTGGGTCAAAATGCAGTTATTATATTAAGAACATTTTATATTTGTAATATTTTATTTAACTGAGTGGTAAAATCACGAAACAACAAAAATGAACTCCAACATATTGTAATAGATTTCAGTCGTCTTAGGAGGACGGGTTAGTGGTGTCAGCCTATGTGTTATCAACAGATAAAAAACAATGAAGGAGTCAAGCAAATACTTTCACTTACGGAGAATATATTCAGTTGTAAAGTAACTAAGTACATTTACTCAAAGACTGTACTTAAGTACAATTTTGAGGTACTTGTACTTTACTTGAGTATTTCCATGTTACGCTACTCTGTACTTCTACTCCTCTACAGTTCAGAGGTAAATGGTGTACTTTTACTCCACTCCATGTATTTAATACCTTTAGTTACTTCACAGATGTGGATGAATGATGTGAAATATAATCAAGTGTTAAATCAGACTTTAGTTCCACCTGGAGTAAATTCACAAGCTACCCTGCAGTATACAAAGTCATTCAAACTAGCTGCACCTTTACCAGCTGTGAGAACACTTTCATGATCAATCATTATAAAACTACAAGATCTGAGTACTTCTACTTTTACTACAAGATATGAGTACTTCTACTTTTACTCAAGTACAAGATCTGAGTACTTCTACTTTTACTACAAGATATGAGTACTTCTACTTTTACTCAAGTACAAGATCTGAGTACTTCTACTTTTACTCAAGTACAAGATCTGAGTACTTCTACTTTTACTCAAGTACAAGATCTGAGTACTTCTACTTTCACTCAAGAACAAGATCTGAGTACTTCTACTTTTACTCAAGTACAAGATCTGAGTACTTCTACTTTTACTCAAGTACAAGATCTGAGTACTTCTACTTTTACTACAAGATATGAGTACTTCTACTTTCACTCAAGAACAAGATCTGAGTACTTCTACTTTCACTCAAGAACAAGATCTGTGTACTTCTACTTTCACTCAAGAACAAGATCTGAGTACTTCTACTTTTACTCAAGTACAAGATCTGAGTACTTCTACTTTTACTACAATATATGAGTACTTCTACTTTCACTCAAGAACAAGATCTGAGTACTTCTACTTTTACTCAAGTACAAGATCTGAGTACTTCTACTTTTACTCAAGTACAAGACCTGAGTACTTCTACTTTTACTACAAGATCTGAGTACTTCTACTTTTACTCAAGTACAAGACCTTAGTACTTCTACTTTTACTCAAGTACAAGATCTGAGTACTTCTACTTTTACTCAAGTACAAGATCTGAGTACTTCTACTTTTACTACAAGATATGAGTACTTCTACTTTCACTCAAGAACAAGATCTGTGTACTTCTACTTTCACTCAAGAACAAGATCTGAGTACTTCTACTTTTACTCAAGTACAAGATCTGAGTACTTCTACTTTTACTACAATATATGAGTACTTCTACTTTCACTCAAGAACAAGATCTGAGTACTTCTACTTTTACTCAAGTACAAGATCTGAGTACTTCTACTTTTACTCAAGTACAAGATCTGAGTACTTCTACTTTTACTCAAGTACAAGACCTGAGTACTTCTACCTTTACTCAAGTACAAGACCTGAGTACTTCTCCCACCTGAATATATTTGTAAATCAAAAGGTACTCACGTTGAAGTGTCTTGAGTGTGATATCAGTTCAGCTCACAGATCCTCGTAAAGGTCTGGATTTGGAAAGAGAGAAAGAGAGAGAGTAAAACTCAACGTGGAGAAAAAATACGTTTCAGGCAAATTTCCTTAAGTTACACTCCTTACATTTTGTTTTAAATAATTTAACACAGACATTGTGTAAGAGTTGTTGTAATACTCATTGAGGCATTTACTATCTGTCATTATAATTCTGATACACCTCTGTATATACTGTACTATACACATTTAAACATCATTATTGTTGTTTTATATTAATGTACAATGTACGCATTTTTACTTAACTTCTATTTTAATAATTAAGTCATTATTATTTATTTTATTGCAAATAGTTAAATTACACTTCCTATATTTGTATAAATATTTATATATATTTTTTTTAATTCAAAATAGAGCAACTGTCATTCAACCAATTTTACTTTAAATGTAGTATTCTAATTTACTAATTTGTAATAAATTAGTATCTTCTTTGTAGTGTATGATGCATGCAAAACAATGTAATTTAAGATGTTGAAACTTAAAGTTCATTTTAAATTATATTATGGATTAGTGTTTTATATTATAGCCTGTTCTCTATTCTTCCCAGTAGGTGGCGACAAAAAGCACGTTATACCCCAGAAGAAAACGCCTTACGCACCACGTCATCACGCAGCAGCCACAACCCTGAAGTAAACACCCAGCTGTTATCCTGAAGCTAGTTTTTTATCAAGCCCCCAGGAAGTGCGGCGGACTCAGATGAAAATATTCGTTGTGTCCAAATGGCGGTACTACAATTTCCGTATCAGTCCGTGACGTCACTGGGCCCAGAAAGACTTTTCCCCATTAGGCGCTTTCACATCGGAGTACTTTTCCCTTTTAGTTCCGATAGTTCCTGGGATTTTGCGTTCACACCAAAAAGAGAACTTAGTTCATGAGAACTTCCCCCCCCCTTTCAGTCCCTGCTAGAGAGCAGATACTTTCCTGGGGAGAAACAAGTTCCACATTTCTGATTGGCTGGGCGAATTGCAAACCACGCCCCGTAAAACTCTGAAAAGTTTTGTGAAGCCGCCATTGTATTTGTGGCATTAGCATTATTAGCATTAGCATTAGCCCCGCACACCAACGGAGAGAGACTAACTTATGGCAACACAAAAGAAAACATGGGTGCGGTGGAGAGATGAGGAGGTGTCGGCGTTCTGGCGATTTACTCGGAAGGCTTCAGTAGAAGCTGCTGGGAGTCCCAGCAGCTTCTACTGAAGCCAGTCCCCAACTCCGGGGACTTCCGGCCGGGCACTTCAGGTGCAGTATACGCCGTGAAGTTGTTTGCGGCCTGCCAGTAAACAAAATCGATATCAAAGTACTTGGTGTGAAAGCGGCTATAGACTAACATTGGGAAAGAGACGTCTGTAAATCAGCGGATAATTAAACGACCCAGTATGAACTACTTTATAGCCCTTATTAGAATCATTAGGTCCTTAAAGTTGTAAAATGCACTAAAAGCCGAATCTAGATTTATTTTCTGTCTCCATTCATTCTACTGAGCTGAGAGTGGGAGCTCGGGGGCGGGGCTTAAGGGGCGCATGCTCTGTGATCCTTTTCATATGTTCACCTGGTCATTATAAATGTTTTGTGTGCTGTAATTTACCCATCTTTCATCAAAGATATGAACTTGGTTTCTGACTCGCATGTGTATTTATACACGGACGAAGTATCGATATTTTATTATATAAACTGTAGCATATCCCTCCGAAAGATTGTCGTACACTTGACTGATGATTTCTAATTTATTGAAAACTCCAAAAACCAACGTAAGAGCTACAAAGACACAACAAATACATTTAAGCTACATCCATATGAGCATTACTTTAAAATACAATTAAACAAGTGAACTTCAAATAGTTAGCAAAGTTATAATACAGTATATAAACTAATTAAGAAACCACATGTTTATATATAGTTAAAAATATTAAACATTTAGTCAGGCAATGTCCTGAAGTACAATTTACTTTTTTTACATTTCTACTCCACTACATCCAAAAGCCAGTATTGTTCTATTTCCTCCACGACATTTATCCACCTGCTTTTTACATCTGAAAGTATTTGTAAGAGCCATTTTCATTTCATTACTATGATTTGAACGTTAGGCTTAATAATAATATAAAGATTTAGATTACTCTTAATCATTTATTTTTGTGAGTCACATGGTTTAAAAGTTATTAATTTAAGGCTCACTTATTTGTTGTCAAATGTGCCTCAGGTATCATGTGCACGGCTAAATGCCTATATATGGCAGGACAAGGGGACACAGCTGATTGTGATGAGATGGGGAAGTGTTTTGATCGTGTTCTTTTTGTTCTTTTTTGGATACTGATAACTTAGTTACTCTGAAGCGAGGAAATGTGTCTTCCTGTTTCTATGCCGCCTGGACCAATGAATAAAGCTCATCTGATTCAACAACGATCTCCGCTACATTCCTTTGGAAACAAAGAGAGGCGCGTCAAAACCCACAACCCAGACAGAGAGGTGGCTATTAAATGTAGACACGGATTAAAACGCCACCACAGCATTCATGTTTTCCTCCAGGTGAGTTCCCCATGAACTCTAAAGTGATGCAACATTACTGTCTTTCTAATGTCTCTGCAGCACTTAGAATAGTCTGTCTTATTTACAGCTGATCTACAGTACCTGCATGATTCAATTTGTTCTTAACCTGTGTCTTCATTGTTGATTTCACCTATTGTATTCAGACACAATGCACTTCTACACAAAGACAGACAGATTTAACATCAGCAAGATACTATCATTTCTATAAAAAAGATAATGAATTGGGTCAGATGTAGTGAGTTCATTCAGTGATCAGTGAAGGAGCGTTCTCATACTGTTATCTGTGGACAGCAGGTACTGTAAGAATCACACACATTCATTCATTAGTTTATAATTATTAACTGACCACGCTTTGCCCATTCTGTCTGGAGTGTTTATATTTATGATATTTTGATGCTAACTTTTCTACTTTAACTTGAGTAACATTAATGCAGGACTTTTACTATAACAGAGTATGCATACACTCTGGTACTTTTACTTTTACTTAAGAACAAGATCTGAGTTATTCTCCCACCTCTGGACAGTAGTTACATAAGCTTCAAAATCATAGGTGCGCTCCGGTACTTCTGAAATGATCACTACACCCCTGCATATAACAGAACATCAAAGAAAACCAAGCTATGTCCTAATTAAAGTACAGCTTTAACCTTAGGGTGTTTTCACTTTCATGTACACTTTAAACACAATATACAACTACTGCAAGGCTTTTCTGAGTTAAGGGTATTCTTACCTTACTCCCAGGAGATGAGCAGAGTTCACAAAATAAAGGTTAGGTTTCTCAGAGAGACCGAAGTTCAAAAGTAAGAACCCAAATCAGCCAGCTGCCTTAACACAGAGCATTTATACCCTCCCCACCTCCCCACCTCCATTTCTTTCTAATTCCACACCCCTTAGTTGTCTTTACTTGGAAGTGAGTTGTCATTGTTGCAACACTCTATATTTTTCAATACAAAAACACAGTTAAATGAAGAAATTATGAATAACACGTAATGAAAGTAAAAGAAAAACAAACTATAAGTACTTACAAGAATCCTCTTCAAACCCAGAAATGGGTCTATTGCTTCCTCTTTAAAAATGAGCATGAAAATGTGTGTTCTGTATTTACTAAGTAGGAACAGTGAGACCAGATTAGAAAGTTCCCCAATGTTAAAGCTTGAGTTCCTGTTTCTTGATAAGCAATGACTCGTGATATTTATGTGTAAACAGTACATTGTTAGCAATAACAAAATGAAGCTTGTTGTAGACTCTCATCTCGTTAACAAGACCTACTGTGTGACTTTAACTTAGTGTTTGAGTCTGTATCAATAATACATTTTATTTGGAACAGCTTTCAGAACTACATCTCATTTTCTGTTAATGGTTGGTCACAAGAGATGGATATAGTCTATTATCCAGAGACTGGGTTATATCTGAGTTCAATTTGATGTCAGTAGGTTTTTCAAATGTTTTGTGTAGATAATAACTTAAATAGGAAAAGGCATAAGACACTCCAGTGTTGGTGACTTTTCTGAACAGCAAGCGCACAGATTGTGTTGGGTTGGTGGTATGAGGGGTTAAGGCATGTGTCGTGTATGTTGAGAACTTCCGGGTTTTTTCACAATAAAACAGCTTTTAAAACTGACGATATATTTTAGACTAATTATGCTATTAAACATTGATTTTAATTTCTAACAATCCCTCCTTTCACACCTTTTAAGGTGTGAACACAATACTGAAATTAATGAGTTTTTCATCTGAACTTTGCATAGTACATAACTCATATCAAAAACATACAATCAGAATGGAATGGTTTAAATAACCGTCATTAAAATACAAAAAATACAACAAATAAAAAAATACTTTGGCTGGTATTAAACATTGATTTTAATTTCTAACAATCCCTCCTTTCACACCTTTTAAGGTGTGAACACAATACTGAAATTAATGAGTTCTTCATCTGAACTTTGCATAGTACATAACTCATATCAAAAACATACAATCAGAATGGAATGGTTTAAATAACCGTCATTAAAATACAAAAAATACAAAAAAATACTTTGGCTGGTCTTCAATCATAAAAGTTTTCTTTGTGCATAACTTCTAGTGTTAACATTCAATATCATGAATAGCACCACTTAGCTTGGTATCAGAACATTTCTTACTCCCTCCTTTCACAGAAATCCTTCTCATACTACATTCAGTGTTAAGGCACTTGTTTTTACAAAGTATAAAAGAAACAAACTTTTTTTAGAATAGTACAAAGTAAATAAAAAATACACCATCTTGGAATAGTATAAAGTAATAAAGAATACACCATCTTGGAATAGTATAGTAATAAAGAACACACCATCTTGGAATAGTATAGTAAATTGCATTGATTCCCTTCATATTAGCATTGTAGCTGGTTCTTCCTTCAAATAGAAGTATTCGATGTTCTCGCGTCCAGGAGAGGAGCTTAGAATGAAGAGACTAATGGAGTCTCCGAAAAGGTTCAAATTGGTGAGTTTAATTAAATGGCACGATGATACAACAAGCAGAGGGTAGGGAAAAGACAAAGCCGGTGATGTCTCTCGTGAAGCTCCAGCGAAAACAAGTCTCGTCTTCTCCTCTCCGATCTCCTTTATCTTCCTCTCGTTCCCTCCCGCTGTGCAGATAGGGGGTACGCCCTCCTCGGTCTTCGATGTTCGACATCACGTAATAACAGAGGACTTCGACATTCTGTATTCTCTGTCTACTTCCTTAAGCCTTTTCTCCTCCTTATCTCTTTCATGACTTTCTATTTAAATACCTTATAAACAGCTGTAATCGTTAGTTTAAAACATTGTTAGCGACATGCTGACCGGATATGAAGGATTTTCAGAATAAAAGCTTGGCATTGAGACTTTGAGAACTAATTTCTAACACCCCCCTTGGTCGATTTGGATGGTTGACACCTCTTTCTGACCGTTAGAGCCAATAGAATCGAAGGGGGAGTCCCCCACACACACGTTGTGAAGAGAAGAGGTGGGGGCTTCGCGCATGTAATTTTTCATCAGAGTGGACCTATCTCTAGCTCTGACATTTGGAAACGAAAAAGCAGTTTTATTGCTTATGGATTATCAGAAATCATTTCAAAGAGGACACAGACACATTGGATTAACCTATGGATTAACTGCAGCATCGTTTTTTATCGTTTTAATGCCATTGAAGACCAGTTTTGACCAAGGTAAGCCATGTTAGCGTTTCTAGCTACCTAGCTCCACATGTTATGATGTACGCTTTCGTTTATAGCGTCGCAAATGTTTATCACTGAGTGTTGAGGTTTTTTACACAGATTCTGTGTTTCCAGGAGATGCTAATCGATGGGTTGGCTGTGCATCTAGGATAAGTAATAAGGGAGTTATGAGTGAGTTTAGGTGCAGTTTTAGGTTACATTTTTTCGCACGTGGGTAATTCAGAGGCTGAGTGTTAGCATTGTGGGTTTTTTTTGGATTTTTTTTTTTAAAAGATCAGTTAGCTGAGTTTCTTCCCGTTACATGGATATAAAACATTCATAGTTTATTAAATATTAAGATTCCTTAGACGTTGTATCCTGCAAATGACGCGTTTATCCGCCCGGTACCGGGGGGGGGGGGGGGGGGGACATCTTAACGGACATCTTGACCGGCGAAAGAAACTGAAACTGAAACTCTGCCGCACGGTCCCCTCGTTCCTCGGAAGAGGCGGAGAGGTGGGTGTTTGTCATCTGCTGGTGGACTAACCAGAGAGAATTACAGTGCTTGCCTCGACAGGGAGGGATTGCATTGAATTAACCTGTTAAGCACCTAGCCTGTTTTTCATGTTTCAGGCTCGAAAATGACATGCCCAAAACAAATGACTACAACTTAACTTCTAAAAGGGTTATATGAATAATGTCTTTTATCAAAGCAAGGTTACATCTGTGAGTTGGATGTAGAAGTGTCAGAATCAATATAAATGTTTTTTATTTTAAAGAAAATTCAGATTTTACATAGTAAAGAACTGTAAATTATAGTGTCCGTCCAAAAGTTATTTTTTACAGATAGTGAAAACTACTCTTGGATGATGGGTTAGTAGACTAAAAGCTTTAGGAATCCAAAGTACAAAATATAATAAGTACCCTGTATCAAGATTGATGCAAAACAAGTGACATTTGACCTTTTTAGAGAGGTTTAGCCAAAACCACCCCACCTCTGAGGTGATTTGGGTGAAAATGTTTTTTTTTCTATATCTCTGGCCCCCCTTGCTCGATTTTGATGGTTGACACACCTTTCTGACCGTTAGAGCCAATATAATCGAAGGGGGAGGCCCACATACACACTCATTGTAAAGAGAAAAGGTGGGGGCTTCGCGCATGGAAATCTAAAGCAGAGTGGAAGGATCTCTCCTTCTGGAATTTGGAAACTAAAAAGCAGTTTTATTGCTTATGGATTATCAGAAATAATTTCAAAGAGGGCACAGATACATTGGATGAACCTATGGATTAACTGCAGCATAGTTTTTTTATCGTTTTAATGCCATTGAAGACCAGTTTTGACCAAGGTAAGCCATGTTAGCGTTTCTAGCTACTTAGCTCCACATGTTATGATGTACGCTTTCGTTTATAGCGTCGCAAATGTTTATCACTGAGTGTTGAGGAGGGCACCACTAGATTCAGTGTCTCCAGGACACCAAACACGAGTGGTTGGCTGTGCATCTAGGATAAGTAATAAGGGAGTTAGAGTGAGTTTAAGTGCCGTTTTAGGTTAAATCTTTTCGCTCATGGCTAATTCAGAGGCTGAGTGCTAGCATTGTGGGTTTTTTTTTGATTTTTTTTTTAAAAAGATCAGTTAGCTGAGTTTCTTCCCGTTACATGGATATAAAACATTCATAGTTTTATTAAATATTAAGATTCCTTAGACGTTGTTTCCTGCAAATTACGCGTTTATCCGCCCGGTACCGGGGGGGGAGGCGTGCGTAACAGGTTAAAGCAGCAGGACCAAACGCTTGCCTCGGGGAGGGAGAAAAAAAGCCACAGCGGAGAATAAACTGAAGGGTAACCATGGTAACTATGGGCGGGAAGTCTTCTTCGCTGCTTTTGTGGCAGACTACAGCGCCACTTACAGGCCTGGCATATGTACGACAGCGCCTCCAGCGCTTTCGAGCGGCAATGGCCGGCCGTGGCCGAACCCCACATTCCCCTGATAGGTGGAGAGTTGGCCCAATAGCCGTAGCGCCACTTTACTGACGTCAGTAAAGTGTTCAAATCTGGATCAGTTTTTATCAGATCCGTTGCAGCCCCTTTTTCAGAGATTTGGGTATGGAGGGAAATAGAGCGGGTTGTGTTTTCTGACACTTGGTGAGTTCCCTGGAACACCGGGGACACATATTCATGTATAAAAGACGTACAAAAGTGCATTTTGCATGATAGGTCCCCTTTAATGTTATTGCTTTCAGCTAACCTTATGTGAAATAATAGTTCCTCATGTTCAAGCTTGAGTTCCTGTTTCTTGATAAGCAAAGACTCGTGATCTTTATGTGGTAAACATTGTCAGCAATAATAAAATGAAGCTTGTTGTAGACTCTCAGCTCGTTAACAAGACCTACTGTGTGACTTTAACTTAGTGTTTGAGTCTGTATCAATCAATCAATCAATCAATCAATCAATCAATCAATCAATCAATCAATCAATCAATGTTTATTTATATAGCCCAATATCACAAATGTTACATTTGTCTCAGTGGACTTCACAATAATACATTTGATTTGGAACTGCTTTCAGAACAACATCTCATTTTCTGTTAATGGTTGGTCACAAGAGATGGATATCGTCTATTATCCAGAGACTTAGTTATATCTGAGTTCAATTTGATGTCAGTAGGTTTTTTTTATATTTG